CTTTGAAAATAATTTCTGAAAGAATATATTGACAATTAGCTTATATCATAACATGAGAGAACTGCAAAGGCCACTGCATATCATAAACAAATATACAAATACATATTCATATGTATATGTATATATACAAATAACATAATCATATACTTCTGTTCATACATATAGATAAAACCATATTATATATATATATATATATATATATATATATATATATATATATATATATATATATATATATATATATATATATATATATTATACACACACACACACACACACACACACACAAAAACATGTATGAAAGTCTTTTCTGTTCTCATATACAGAATATGAATATGTAAACATACATTGGTACACAAATTAACATGCTAAAGTTCTCATCATTAATTTCTTAATAATAAATGCATTTAAGCCATTCACTGCTTTTACCAAAATTTAAATCTCGACATACAAACATACATGAACAAGCGCACATGTGAATGCATCCTCACACTCACACATACAATATGTCTGACAATTTTTGTGATGCGGAAATTACAAATTGAAAATGACAATTCACATTTTCTCATAAAGGCACGGTTCAACTGGCTTTCTTCATGCACAGACTCTGAGCCATCCGACCTCCCACAGATGTCGTGTTTCAATTGCAGAAAGAGCCTCTGCAACAGCCCAAACATACCCAAGGATTGACTACACAGCAGTACAGAGCACAAGGACAGTTTCCCCCCAAATTTTACGGTAGTTTTGTGCATTGTGGCTTTTATCTTTGTGAAGAAAGAGGAAAGAAAACCAAAGTGATCAAAGGTTAAAAAAAAAAAAAAAAAAAAAGACCTGAGTGCTATAATTAAGCTAGTGAAGGAACAGGCACAGGTTTTACAAATTTTGAACATGGAGGGGTTTTTATTAGTAGTTGTATCTTATGAAACCTCACATTGAGCAGAAGGATACTCAGCTGAGAAAAGCAATTCCTGCAGACTATCACTTGGCATTAACACTTCAGTAACTAGCAAGCGGTAAAAGTTAAAAATCTTTTGTTCTTGATTTTGCTGGTGTCATCTTGTTTCTATGATTTCTAATTATATGTGTGTTCACACACACACACACACATACACACATAATGTATGTAAATATATATGTACATACATATACATATATCATCATCTTATTCATGCCATCCCCGATGTGGTGTTCGATTGGGTCTTGATACTGGGGTGGCTGACCAACGATCCTTCCCCAGGATCAGATCATTGTTGGCGGTTCTCTCCATAGTAACTACAATAGACTAACCAACTATCGTATCTAAGTTTGATTTCCCAAACTTAAGCAAATCTGTCTTGTGCCTGTGCATGAATGCACAAACACATAAGTAAATCAAAGCTAGTGGGCGAGTCTATGAAAGTTACAATATGTGTGTATATATATACACACACACACGTGTGTTTGTGTCTGTATTACACATACATACATTATATATACACACACACACACACACACACACACACACACACACACACACACACACACACACACACACACACACACACACACACATTATATATATATATATATATATATATATATATATATATATATATATATATATATATATATATATATATGTATGTATGTATGTATGTATGTATGTATATATATATATATATATATGTATATATATATATATATGTATATATATATATATATGTATATATATATATATATGTATATATATATATATATGTATATATATATATATATGTATATATATATATGTATATATATATATATATATATATATATATATATATATATATATATATATACATATACATATACATATACATATACATATACATATACATATACATATACATATACATATACATATACATATACATATGTGTGTGTGTGTGTGTGTGTGTGTGTGTGTGTGTGTGTGTGTGTGTGTGTGTGTGTGTGTGTGTGTGTGTGTGTGTGTGTGTGTGTGTATGTGTCATATGTAGATGTAAATTATATGTACACACCCACGCACACGCACACACCCACACCCACGCACACCCCCCCCCCCCCCCCCACCCCCACACGCACGCACGCACGCACGCACGCACACAGTTTGATAAATACACAGAGATATTTAAAACTTTTCTCAAGAAATTACAGACAACAGTTCTTATTTGGACCCCGGAGAACCTGATGAATTCCTCTGGGAAAAGAATGCTCTCGGTCTGGCTATTGTGGGTTCCCTCCATCCCCCAGATTTCACAGAGTAGTGCGACGATTCGGCCAAGAGAGCCAGGCCTATGGATAGAAATGAGCACTCACAAGGCCAGTTGAACCGCCCCCTTGCAAGAACTACTTTCCAAGTCATATGAATAACCTTTACAGGAAAACAGTGAATGGATTAGCAATTTCAATAACAATCAATATAATCTATAATTCCCAAAGTCAATTTCAATTACGAGGGTAAGAACGAGTCTTATAAAAAGGAAGCAAAAGAGTTGACTTCTATATGCACACATATATTTGCATATTTACGTACATATATTCAACAAATTATGATAAAAGAAAACATTTGTACAGTACAAACAAAGCCTACATATAACTGATTAATATGTTCAGCCATATTGGAAATTTTTGCTAACACATTTTGTCTTTTATTTTGTCTTCACCAATAACAAATAGATATGAAACTATGAAATAGTTCTGAGTGTTAATTGTTAATGCTCGTAAAAAAATAATACAGATATTAAAATCCTTTTTAATGTCTGTGAACTTTATCTACATTGTGTTCCTTTTTTAAAAATCTCTGCTGTTTTTTGGTTAAAATCTTTTGGCTTTAAGGGAACTTTTTCACCTTTCAATCAGTCTTTGGATATGCTTAGTTTACAAAAACAAAAAAACAAACAAGAAAAAGGCACATGAAAATGAAAAAGTAGAAGAAAAAAGTGAAAACATGACAAATAATCTTCTCAAACCCAATATGACATGCCACAAGAGAATCAAGAAAATTAAGAAGTACTTTGAAGACACAATTGCATAATAAATTGTATCAGCCTTGTAACCAAGTGTGCATTTTGTGCTGGTGTCTTCCAGTTGCTGTTTTTCCCTCTGCGAAAATGCTTCACCACTCAATGGGCACCGGATTCTTGGCAGCAGTCGAGTACCGACACCCACACAGTCTTCCAACCTCTTCCACTTCCTCTAAGATCTGGGAATGTCAGGAATGAAGTCTTGGATCTTTCTAAGCACAGGACATAGCTCTTATCTAATAGCATGATAGATCTAAGCAAAAAATCACTCTTAAAGTCTTAATTAATGGTTTAATGCCACCCTAATGATGACTGATAATGATAGTGACTGACTATGACTATACTAAAATATTAGCTGCTATATACATACAAACATGTCTATACATACAAATTCATATATAAATAAATAAAAATAAAGAAAAAGAAATAAATATATATATATATGCATACAGGGGATCCCCGATATTCATTGCCCTGTTATTTGTCATTTCACTCTGTTCCCTTTGACATTTTATCAATGTATCATTAATTTGTGTTTTACTCTGTCTACACACAAGGGGGAGGGAGAGAGAGAGAGAGAGTGTGTGTGTGTGTGTCTGTATATATATCTGTGTATATATATATATACATATATTATATATATATATATATATATATATATATATATATATATATATATATATATATATCTGTATATATATCTGTATATATATCTGTATATATATCTGTATATATATATCTGTATATATATATATATATATGTATATATATATATGTATATATATGTGTGTATATATATACACACACACACACACACATACATGTATATATATATATATATATATACACATCTATACAAGAAGCAGAATCCCTCCTCCTTCATAAGTGGCCCAGCATTGAACAGTTAATGCATGACAGTCCTTGCCCATCTGAACCACTCACAGCAAACCTTATTGCCGTCACTTCTGCAATCGTTCCTCTGAGCAGGTGAGGTCTAATTACCCCTTTTTCACAGTGTCCAACCTTTGTTTAAATCAATCTTTAACCCATTCGCCACGGATTTATGTTCTGTCCCCTGTAGTTTTTAGTGAATTTTGTTACCTACAGATGGCTCCACATGTGCTCAGCCGGCAAGGAGTCTATCAGTAGGCCCTAGTTACCGACCCTGATTTTCCCATTCATTGAATTGGTGGGAAAATTAATACCATTGCTATCGATACAGTTATTATTGTTATTGATGTTATGATTACAAAATTGTCACTAGAATATTTTAGACAATGAAATGATACAAAAAAAAAAAAAAAAAAAAAAAAAAAAAAAAAAAAAAAAAAAAAAAAAAAAAAACTTTCCAAAAGTGAAGGAAAAGGGTAAACAGGTGAAATAGGTAGTTCTTGATAACTGGCTGTTTGGTGATTATGAACTTGTGGAGCCATCTATGTGTAAATACAATAAATAAACGTGTCTCAAAGTGGGTATGGCATCTATTCTTGCCAAATGTGGAGAATGGGTTAAAAAATAAAAATGCAGGTATCAATCTTCAGTGTCACTCCAAGAATCTACATATATTTGAGTATATATTTGAGCAAACCACTGAAAATTACGTTCCCCGGGGTGGCGTTCATGAAAGTTCTTTGACTCTAAGATTTGTCTCAGACAAATGAAGACTAAGAATAGGAAGAAAGCCCCATGCCACATCTGGAAGTTAGTGCTGGTAATAGAACACACATCTGTATCATAATAAACCCTATTACTGATAATCTATTGTAATAAGATGAATAGAAAACATCAGTTAAATATTTAAAAAATGACTAATGAACATCTGACAATAAATCAAAAAGGGTCATCTAATATTTTTCTATCATATTCGAAGCTGAATTATCTTCAAATTTGTGTAAAATTGCATTGTTTTAAAGACAGACCTTGCACATGTGGGACACTTCCACAACTCTGACCAAGTTTTAGACAAAAATTACCTGTCTAAGACATTTTCGTGGGGAGTCACAGACAATTTGCCTAGTCAAAGATATATGAAGATAATCAGACATCAGTAATGACAAACAGACTTTGGAAGTCAATTCTGATTTTTTTTTGGCAACTATTAAATGATCCACTTTCTACACACTTACAGCAATTTTCTATTTGAAAATACAAATGGTGCCATGAGGTTTCAAAGCTGATGCGATGACAACTGCATCAGGACATTTGGACAACATTTGGAAAACTATGGTTGTCCAAATTTTAATTGAATATATAAAATGTGTAATACTATTGTCATTATAGAAGTAAGATTTATTGCAGTATGCAGTTAACATATTCCTGCATTCAATTATCTTCATAGAGTCTATAAAAATGTAAATGTATTATTCCATTACCAGCATTAGAGATGTGGCAACAGGGATTTATTTCGTAGTGTAAGACCTCTCACGAATACCGCCCCTGGTCAGCATTGCACCCACTTCTAATGTATTCCTATGGAATACTATGTACTACTATTTATAAATAATCCCTTGTAATATTTTTCTGCTCTATATCAATGACAGTGTTAGAGTGCTGGCTTTGCAATCACAAGGTCCTGGGTTCGCGCCCGGCCGCCGTCCCTCTCAGTCCACTCAACTGTGAATGAGTACTGATATGCTGACATCAGCATGTTGGGGTCGAGGTCGGGGCGGAAAGGAACTGGCCACCCTACCGCATCATCCCGCGGCCTAGTAAGCATGTTTCTCTCCAAACGTGTCCCCTACGTTCACATGGCATGGGACCAATTTTGACTTTTATATCAATGACAAATAAAGGGGATCCCCTGTATGTATACACAATGCACTCTCTTACCCCTACCTTATCAAGCATTTCCTTTGTGTGTGCAGCTGACAAGCAGAACCTCATTCTGCCTCCAGTGATCTTGGTGGCAGGGAAGCCAACCCCCACGCCAGCCACTCCACGGTTGGTCAGCTCTCGGACAAACATCCTTCGTGTAAAAGAAAATAAATCAAAACAAAAATAAACAAACAAACATACAGATTAACACACAAAAAAATAAGAAGTCAACATAATACTCAAGACTTAAACATTGAGAATAATGCAAATAAAATATTAGTACTATTATTAATCATTATCTTTTTTTTTTTTCTTACTGAAAACATTTGAAAACCAGATGATCTAACATGAAAAGAAAAGAAAAGAAAAGAAAACAAAACATACAGTTTGTGAGAGACAGACAGACAAAGAAAGAGAATAAGAACACTTACTCCTTTACGGATATCTTATCACATTATTACAGGGGCACATACACAAACATAAGCTACATCCACACACCATAAAAACATATGGCTCAAGTACATGTATGCTAACATATATATGTACATCCAAAATAGACAATGTAGAACAAAAAAAAAAAAGATAAAAAGACAACACAGAAAGCTGAGACAGAACATGTGCACAATCCAGGAAGCTTTAACAGTGTACTTGTAACTTCTACTTAAGTTTAATGATACGATACAAATCATTTTCCCTAATTAACTTCATAGGTGACCAGAGCAAATTGTAGTGAGAACTTGAGACTGAATGAGGGCAGAGGGGTAGAAATGTGGGTAGGCAGATGAGGATCTGAGCTTTGGAGGAGAAATTCTGTGCATGGGTATGCAAGAAATATAAAACAGCTGTCAGTATCTTTAAGGTTTCTGGGGTTGCATAAACACTGGAAACTAAATTTATCATGATACACAGAGAGAGGATACATGAAGGCTTAAGAACAAGTTGGTATTTTGCTTTTAAGACTTTTGAATATCAAAAATAGTCCTACTCAACTTGTAGAGAATTTTTAATTATAATAACAAAAATAATGATAAAAAAGTGACTAAGCATTTCAAAAGCTGTCATTTCCTCCCTAAGCCACACAAAACTGCAGAGAAATTTGTATTTCTACATCTGATATTACAAAGGACATATCCATGTCAGGGTTGGCAGAGGAACCCAGAAGAAATAAATCTTAAAATATTGTAAATCTGCCCCCAATTCAAGTACATATCTGGCTCTCTGGAAGCATGTTGCTTAGAAAAAATCTATATAAAAAGTATTTACAGGAACTATCATTTAAATTATATACCACTTATGTATGTCAACATGATCTATTTATTAGTCTTTGTGTATCTCAATTATCTGTTTTTCCAAAGTTTGTACTCCGAGACTGTCAAGAAAATAGCAAGTCACGTAATTTATGCCACTCCAGCAGTCATTTAAAATATGGCAACTATGTATCTGAAGGAGGGAGGGATTGTAATACTAAATATATATTTAAGCTTGACAGACCTTTTAAAAGTAACCAATACATTCTTTTTAATAACATAAACCTAGAAAGTATATGCCTATGTATAAATGTGTATCAGTGTACAGCTGTGCACATGTATAACAAATATAACAAAATAAGTAACACACACACACACACACACATTAGAGTCATAAACATCAAACACAAACA